GCTTATTATGATACAGATTGGGCGGGATGTCCTGATACACGTCGGTCTACCACCGGCTATGTTATCTTCTTGGGTGCCAATCTTGTTTCTTGGTGCTCCAAGAAACAATCCACTGTGTCTCACTCCAGTGCCGAAGCTGAGTATAGATCTTTAGTCGTTGATACCGCTAAAGTTGCTTGGATTGTTCAGCTACTCCGTGATCTACATCTTCAAATGCCTTCTCCTCCTAAAATATTATGCGACAACAAGAGTGCTATTTTTATGGCTGTCAATCCTGTCACTCGACCTCGCTCTAAACATATTGCAATTGACTACCATTTTGTTCGTGAATTAATTGCCAATGGTTCTCTCAAAGTCGCCTTTGTTCCCTCCCATCTTCAGCTTGCCGATTCATTTACCAAGGGCGTCACCAAGCCTCAGTTTCTACTTTTCCGTAACAAACTTCACGTGCTTCCATCTGCCACGCTCAGCTTGAAGGGGGGTGATAAGGATGAATCCTCTTCGGATTATTCCTTGATCTTAGATGATTGTATACTGTATTTATCTTAATTATCATGTATTTATCTTTTATAGGATAATCTCAACTGCATATATTTTGATATAGGACTTCTCTATTGTAAATACACTTTATATAATGACACAGATTGCCTCAATATTTATTTGAGGATTTCAGTCACATATACACGGGTCTTTGAACCTCTATATCAACCCTAATTGAATGGGTTTTAAATTACCAAAAAGATTATTTAAATTAAGATCTAAATGTTTTAAACATATTATTTATTTTTTCTAATTAAATTAAAATAATTTTATCATCCACTTAATGTTTGACTAACCGACCAGTCAGTTTCATTGGTTTTAAAATCTGTAAAAATTATTTTAAAATTTAGTTTGGATTTTAAAAAACATCAAGATACCCACAGTCAAAAACTTTCATCTGCTAATCGTTATCAAGTGTGAATGTTATGATTTTTTTTTTTTTTAATACTTTTTTTAACGTTTAGACTGAGGGTTAGTGACTAAGAGTATATATTCTTTATTTTAAAGAGCATCTTTCATATAAATAAAGAATATCTTCATTGATTTTTAAATATAAAGAACAAAATTTATATTAAATTTAAGAGAAAGAATATGTTTTATGTTTTTTCAAGAAAGAAACTTAATAGGAGAAATAAATCATAAATAAAATATATAGAAACTTGTAATTTATTATTTAAAATTAGGATAGAAAGTAAAATTTAACTCTATAAATGTAGAGAGTCAAACTTACTTTCTAATTTATATTTAAAGAATACAGAATATATTGAACTCTTGTTCTATGGATAAATATGCTCTAATTATCAACTTGATAAAACACACAAACCAAAACCAATAATTAATTGCTGGCAATCGGCCGACACAATAAAAATATCGTAAAAATATCATAAAAATCCAAAAAAAGAATCGAAAAGGAAAGATTGATATCAAGAGATCTTTAGATAAAAAACAAACTTTGGAAAAGAAAGGTAATGATATAAAAATAAAGTGTTTTATCAACTTGTTAGTAGAGACTGTGCCATGTTGAGACCATGGGGGTTGGGGCCATGAAATTAGAAATTCAATAGTTATAAATTTACTTTAGTTTACATGTGGTTCGCATTTTTGAAAATGCATGTGATTGAAATAAATTATAATGTTTTCAGAAACAGTTTTCATATACAATCATAAAAATTAATGTAAAATAAAGAAAATTATTTTTAATTTTTTTCAGAGTTTTTTTTATAGCTTTTAATATATAATCTTTTTTCTTAATATGATATAAAATGTATTTTTAACCCTTAAAAATATTAAGCCACGATTCAAAAATTTAAATTATTTTTAATCATAAATCAAACCAAATAACTATTATAAAAAGTGTCAGAATTGAGAGGGCAACTGAAGAGAGTTGAAATATGTCTGAGAAATATTTTTAAGAGAGAAGAGAGATGTTTGAAGAGAGTCGGAGTATGTCTGAAAGATATATTTGATATAGAAGAATTATATTCAATTGAATTGAATTGAATTGTTGTGAATTGTTATATAAATACACAACGTATTTATACAAAAGTACAGTAACTATGTAAAGAAACATAATGGGTGCGTTTGGTTTAGTATTATGGATAGGATTTTAGGTATAGTATTGAGTTATTGGATAGGGGAGTATTACGAGGTAAATTTTAAAAATTTATGAAAAAGCCCTTAGGTTTACTAATTTAACTAAAGACCCTAACATATAAAATGACCAAAACACCCCCACCACCTGCAGTGTCAGATTCCGGCCACCACCGCCGGAATCTGGCCGAAAAATTTCGTTACGGCACAGAGCGGTCGGATCTGTGCCGTAACACGTCGTTATGGCCTTTTTCGGCCAGATCCATGGTGGATATGGCCGGAAAAGGCCAGATCTACGGTCTATTATGGCCGTCGACGGCCGGAAAAGGCCAAACGAGGGCCATAGCGACGGCCAAAGATGTGGCCGTCGTTTTCGGTCAACGATGGCCATTTCTTTGGCCGTCGCTGACGGCCAGATCTGGCCTTTGCCGGCCAGATCCGTGGTGGATCTGGCCGGAAAAGGCCACAGCGGTGAACTTCCGGCCATTTATGGTCGGAAGTTAGGCCGTTGTACAGATTCCGGCTATCACCGACGGTGGTTACCGGAATCTGACAAGTTGGGTTGATGGGGGTGTTTTTGTTAATTTTTAAACTTTTTTTTTAGGGGGTATTTAGTAATAACCTTATGGGGTTTAAATGTAATTAAAAAAATAGGATAATATTTCTGGAATAATGTGCCAAATATTATTTGGAGAATAGGATCCAGAATAGGGATAAAAATAGTAAGCCAAACATGCATAATGTTGCCATAATATTTGTAATCTTCGAGGTAGGAAACAAAAATATACTATTTTAAGTAAGAAATGAAATATCTCATAATAATGCTTGCAATCTTCCTCAATAAGGAAATAGAATATCAACATTTCATATTCGCAAACAACAAAAAGAATATATGGAAAATGATACCTCCACATGCCTCTATAACTTTAAAGCAACAACCGTGATGGCCCTCCAAGGACATGACGTTTAGGGTGAACGCTAATTCAACAAGTTTCATTCTTTAGAAGTTATAGATGATTTGACAAAATTATTATTTTAAGGGTTTTAATCTAATTTTATTCACTTCTTATCATCAATTTGATTAATAAATATATGAATATATGTAAGTAGTTAATATAATAAATCTCATAATAATATATATATCTATATGTGTGTGTGTGTGTGTGTGTGTGTGTGTGTGTGTGTAAACAAATAAAGAATATTTGACTAATTAAAAGTTGTTTTTATTAAATTTATAATTTTAAAATTAATTTATAATTGATGTATTCTTAATAAAAAAAAATTAAATAAAAGGCATAAAAAGAGGATTTGTCGATATCAACTTTTTTTTTATATATATTTTAACTTTTGAAAATCATTTTGCAAATGCTTTTAAAATTAACCAATGATTTTTGTTTTTTGATATTAGCTCATATTCTTTTAAGTTAAAACTTGAAATATTATTTATTTGGTTACATAAATTTAAACCACTAGATTTCTAACTTTTTCAGCAAGTACTTTTCAAGTACTTTATTTAAAGTTTAGAAATGTTGAGAGAATTTTGTATGATTTTTAAGAGAGTAAAGGACTTTTTTTCCACCGAGGGTTTACCTTAATAACACTTTCTCACCCAAAAAGTTTCAAAATATGCTTTAATACCCAAAATTTATATTTCGTTACCACTTAAAACACAGTGCCCTTAGGGTTTATATATATATATATATAAGAGATCGCACAGAAAACATACATTTGAGATTAATAATATAGTTATAAAATCACACTACACAACGAGACACGATACTTACGTGGTTCGGTATAATTGACTACATCTATGAATAAGAGAAATCCATTATAGTTTTTTGAATAAGATATACAAGAGTACATAACACCATATACCAAGTACATTATTAACAGAGCAAAAACAATCCTAGTTCCTAACCACGCTTAACCCAATATCTAGAGCAAAAACAATCTCAGTTTCTAAGATACTCTACCATGGTATTTAATAACTATTACATCAAATACCCCATGTTCTTACATTTTTTCACGACCTTGAATTTGTTCTCACCCTTATATTTATAAGTAGTACATAAGATATTCTTTTTTCTAGTATGATTCATATTTCAATTCCTAATAGGACTCTATAATTATAATTTTATTTACAATTATATTCTTTATTAAATAGTTTTCTTAAAAATATACAATTTCATATGGAAACAAATAGGAAAACGAATCATAACAACAAATTGAACAAAATATAAAACAAATTTGAAAGAAAAAAAAACAAAACACTTTTTGACCCAAAAATTAACCCGTGAACAAAATCTTCAAAGAAAATCTTGGACAAGAAAGTCTCACAACTTCACTTATGTTAGCATAATAAAACTGATCATTGAAATAAATTCAGGCATTGTTACACATATGTTTAAGTTTTCTCTTTCATTGTATCTTGCCATAATTCATCAATAACCATCCTATATTGTCTCCTTTTCTATTAAATCAATCTAGTCAACATCATATTAAAATCAAACAAACACTTAGTAACCCATAAGCCATCCTCAACATCTAATCAAATGTGGGCTTCAAAGAAAAACGCAGATGACAAAGTTTATTAACATTTTCATTTGACTGTTCAATAAAATAAACATTCGTATTATTAAATATATCAAATTTTCTCTTTCATCGAACCGTGGTTACGATTGATCGACAAATATCATTTTTATTTCTTTAATTATATAACCAATGTAGTCGACAACAAATTGAAATCAAACAAACAGTTAATTAAAACATGTAACCAATTGAACAAAAACAAAAAGCAATTTTGGAGGAAAAATAAAAAGCACTTTTTGACACATCGATAAGCACTTATAACATAAGACGGCCACTTAATATGCTCTCAATTAACATTTCGTTTCATCCCATCACCTTGACAACTTCAAAAAAAATTCTCTTCTTCTCTCAACTTCCGTACACCTCTCTCTCTCTCTCTCTCTCTGAAACGCTCAAAACTCACTCTCTGCAGTCTGCACCCAAAGAAATCCTTTCTCTTTCACAATTTCATTTCATTAAATATTCACTTAGCAAAACACACTTCTTTGTTTCAATGAACCCGTCTTCGATTCGCAAATTATTTTAGCTATTTTTCCGTACGTTTTGTGGCGGGAAACAACGAACCCACCACCGATTTGGTGTAAATTTTTGAGAAATAATGGCGAACCCACCTGGGACTCATCAAGAACACAGCAATCCGTCGTCTGCTTTCAATGGAACCAACGCGAATTTGGTGGTTCACGAGCGGGCTGGTTGTGGTCTTAAACACAACCCTGGGATTTCTATGGACTGGACTGCTGAAGAACATGCTATTCTCGAAGAGGGGATTCAAACGTGAGTAAATTTTGTGAGTTGGGTTCATTTGGGTTTTGTAATTTTTTTTTGGATATTTAGTGTTTTGGTAGTCCAAGTTTGATTGATTTTTGTGAATTGTGATTTATTTTTTTAGTATTTTGGTGGTTGTTGGTGTTTTTGGATTGGATGAAGCTTTTGTGAGATGGTTTCTTCTGGTTGAAAAATTAGTTTTTGATGGGTTTAATCGAGTGTTTTTGTGGTCTTTTCGTGCTTGTTTAATTGAGTTTGTGACATTTTAGTTTAATTCTGAGATATATTTGAGTTATTGGATGGCTGTTTGAAGTTTTGTGGCTTCACTTGAAATTGGGTTCGTTGAATTCTTGTTTCTTGAATTTTTGTTTAACTGTGAGTTGTCTTTTTTTTTGAGATAAAATGGTATATCTTTGCGATTTATTTATTTATATTTCACTTGTATTAGTATAAGTTGATTTGGATATTCAATTTCAATTTATATTTCAGTAATTGGTTGGGTTTCAGGGAACCTACTTGGTTTCTTGGCAATATTTACCAATGATAATATTAATCTGAATAAGTTTATAGAATTTTAGATAGTGAATGAATATTCACAAGCACGCCATGTTATGGTATCTCCAAGAAGATCATATAATCTGACTAATAATTGATTCAAACATTTTCTTTTGTATGATGTGCTTGCTTATGATTAGTATGATCGTACTGACCATATAAGTTTGACTTTTATCAATTGCATGCTTACAGTTTGGCCAGTTGCAGTGCTTCATTGGTTAGAAAGTATTCATATGGAGCCTCCTCATTGTCCCAGAAAGAGAGAGAAAAATGGTGTCTTTTATCAAGTTATTATGAATTTTCGACATTATTTGGTCTTGTCCAGTGTTGAATTTTTATCTTTATAGCTTGTATTTAGTCACTTTCTAACATGGAAAGATACGGAAGCAGAATCACTATTAGCTACCTCAAATCAGAGAAAAAAATCCCTTCTTTCTGTTTGTAGATAAAACAAATGTGTTGTCATCACTTAGCTAATGTAACAGGGTTCAAAAGTTGTTTTACTCCTTAGTAAACTTTCTGGGTGTAAACTTCATGCTGAAATTTGTCTTCAAAATGCCTCATCGAGTGGGGAAGAGTCAATATGTTGTTCACATGTTTGTTTTTTTTATTTCTCTGTTTTTTTTTTTTGTGCTATTTGACTTGGTTAATATTTTTGAAATAGTTAGTCAGTGAGTGACTTGACTCATATGCTAGTAAAAACTATTGGATAAGTGCTTCATTATATTAAGAACCTCCCTATTGTTGTTCTTCTGCAACCTGTGTTATGCATTAAACTGAAAATTCTCTGTTAATTGGTGCAGAAGTTGTTTAAGGAATGCCCTTCTGTTTGTAGTCAAAATCTAACAGAACTTGTTGGTAATACTGTCATTCTTTATAAAGCACTATTATGTGACTGTGGATAGCATGGTTAGTTTCTTTACTTGCATGCAAGGGTCAAATTGCTTTTAAATGGTAATATATTTTTTGGTTTTATTTACTGAATAGCACTATGTTGATCATCCAATACTTATTTCCTCAGTTGGCATGTGAACTGTACTTATTGTAATATTTCAAGTTTTAAAAGCTTTCGAAAGATTTAATTCCAACCTTTATGATAGTTTAAGATGCTGACTGATTTCAGGCTTATACAATACAGATAAGTGAATGTTAAAACTTTTAAATCCCAGCATATTGTTAATATGAAAATTTTGGCCAAGATTTAAGAGATCGCAAAATTAGTTGAGTAGAGTGCCTATTTTCTTAGTTCTTGTTCATTTAATTTGCTATGCTTTTATCAGTTACTCGTAGTTTTGGCCTAAAGTTCACTTTCTGTTTTTATTCTGTTTCATGCGTGAGTACTTCATCTAATTGATGTGGTCCAATATTTTGCAGATATACATCAGAAATTAGCTTAACTAGTTATGCAAAGATAGCTGTGCATTTACCAAATAAAACAATTCGGGATGTGGCACTGCGTTGCAGATGGATGACTGTAAGATTTATAGTTTCTTCTTTTCTTTGGCTGTATCTTTGAACTCTTTGAAATAGTAACCCAAATTGTTATTTGTACACCTGCAAGTTGTGTAGTTAAGTAATGATCAAAACATTTCCTTTTTCTGTTTAGTTGAGTGGCCATAAGAATGGTAACCAAATGAGATAGGCGAGACATTTTTTGGCTTGCCGTTGGTCCATTGTTGATGATTCTCCTTTTAGATTATTTTAGAGCACCTATAATATATGCAGGATTGAAAAATATCTCTTTATTTTTTGGCTGTGTGAAATCTAAAGTAATGCTGTTTGATGTTTGGAGTTCAAGTGTTCTAATGATTCACTTCTTTGTTCAGAAGAAAGAAAATAACAAGAGGAGGAAGGAAGATATAACAAAGAGAACCAGAGATAGAAAGGTACAATCTAGTTTTTATTTTGAATGCTACCTATTATTTGATTTCATTCTCTTTTGACTTCTTTTGTTTTGATAAATAAATTTTAGAAATCATGTAAAGAATATATGTGCGTGGTTGGGAAAAATTGCATGCTTGATGGATAGCATCAGATCCAATTAATGTTGAAGGCTACTTTTATGTTTTTGCTTCATAATTTTATTCAGCTAGAAGTTTCTGTTCTGCATGATTAGGCTGAAATATTTATATGAATGTACCGGAACTGGAAACTACACAGTCAGCCCATGTAATTGAGCATTAGGAGATAAATGCTCGCTTGATGACTAGTACCACCATATATTAATTGTTTTTGTAAATTATCTTTTTGTATTAGAAAAGGTTGTGGTAATGCTTTGAAGTTCAAAATTTTCCTTCTTATGAAATGAAGTTGAAACAGTGTTTTCATGATCATTTAACTGCCACTTATTTTTGTAAAAAACTCTTTAAAATATTGATGTCTTTTGCCACTGGGCATATTCACCTTTTTTCTTTCAAGTCTTTTGATTCTTTCCGTGAACCTGAATGTTTCTGTCTAATATTGGGGCCTCATGATTGTGTATTAGCCTTTTTCCTCTATCTCCTCTGTCATCAGAATCAGCTCTTCTTGCTTCAACAGAGCAAAATTTAGAAGGGTCTCGTGGCTTTTTAAATTCTATATACCAGAGAGTTGTCTTTTGAATGCATTAACTGTTTCATTTGCACTTACACATAAGTTTGATGTTCTGTCATTCTTAATATATTTGTATCTAAGTGGTAACATGGCTTTAGCTGGAAGGCTGTGAGGTGTTAAAATTTAATTGGAAAGATTTTTTTCCTAAATATGTAAAGTCATGACTGTATGTTCTATGGGAATGGGTATATAGTTCAGTGTTACAAATCTATATGAATTTAATTGTGGTTGTGATTTGATGGACCAATATGTGCTTAGACATCTTTTGATATTGATTTTGATTCTTAGGAAAGAGTTATTGATCCTTCAGCAAAGTTGGGGCCTTTTGCAGTCCGACCCAATGTTCATTCATATGCGCCACCAACGATGTCTACAGACTATGATGAATCCATTTCATACCTAGGTCAGCGTTTGGACATATTTGCGGATCTCTTCCACAGCTCTGAGTTATTCTAGTAGCATGGGAACATTATGCTTTCCTGTTAATTTTATGCACCTTTCATCGTTTACAATACTGCTTTGTTTGCTGCTATTTTTGGCTAAATTCTATTGTACTATTCACTTCTGGTTCTGTCTTGATATTTTCATCAATAGATTTGAATTTAGAAGTTCCGTCAGCATTAGTCGAATCAAGATCTTAATGTTTAAATGTTAAAGAGAATGGTGTGACATCTATTAGGCATGCTGCTGTCACTCCTAGATAGAGGAATTTTTTAATATATTTTCCTCTATTTTAACATTTTAAATGTGGATATTAACCTTAGAAGTTGACTTTTTTGCAGCTTATCATAAGTTTTAGGCAAATGGATTGCAAATAGGTTATCCACGATTAGGGTGATTTTCGAATGGGACTATCATATCTAGCTTCTTTGTTTCTTTAATTTTATTTATTTATTTATTTATTTTTGGGCTGTTGAACCTGAATGCTAAAGAGCTGGTGTGTGCATTTACATGGTTTAAGAATTTGAAGATCCATCTACTTCCAGCTTCATTAGAATCTAATCCACAACTTGATATTCAAGTGTATGAATGTTCAGTGGTGGAGGAAGCCCATTAGCTTTACTGATTTAATAACCAAATTCAATTTTATGTAACTAGTAATTAGAAAGGGGTAAGTAAAGAGTTGTCCATCTATTCTTTCTGGTTGTCAAATTTGATGCTACTTTGTGATATGTTCTTTTGTGTGGGAGACTCTTTCCTTTCCCACAGATGAAACATTAAATTATCAATCTTCGGTCTCTTTTCCTTTACTCTGTGAACTATTAATCCTGTTTGAAACATTTTTTATGCCATGGTTATGGGATTGTCATATTGAGAATTTGCGTTGTGATTTTTGCAGCCGTTGCTGGTCCCATGGGTGAGATTCTTGAGCAGAATGCAAAGTCCTTCAAACAAATATCTGCAAACCTTTCAGCCTTGCAGGTGACGTACTTATATTGAAATATATTGACTTCACTCAAAGAGTTTACCCCATACTGATTTTTGCAGCCGTATTGATGTTTTTCATTTTCATGGTGAATGTTAAGCCCTGTCTAAACTTCTTGATTATATGTTGCTTACTTCTATGAAAAATAAGTGGATTTTGTTTTATAGCATACTTGATTTGATGTATCATAGAAATCTTTGTACATATTTTGCCTGAATAATACTAGAAATACAAATGTTGTGTACAAACTGACATGAGACAAAATGAGTAGAAAAATTTATATAATAAGTCAACCAAATAAATGTCAATACATGATGATGAATTATATGGTATGACAAAAGTAATATCACATCGGTTTATATATATATTTGAATGTGTAGTGTTACTTATATGCCATTCAAACTCTCTTTCAAGCATGTAAAGAGAGTGGAAATTCTTTGGCCCCATATGAAATATTTTGATTATATTTTTTCTACTTCTAAGAAAAATAATGTGTGTTATGTTTTATAGAATTCTTGATTTGATGTATTTAAAATATCTTTGTACATATTTTGGCTTTCAAACTCTCTCTCTCTCTCACTCTCTCTCTATCTCTGTGTACATTGCTTTTTGATGTTATTGATTGATACTTGCATTTTCTTGAATGTGTGTATGTATATATATGCATGATTACATCTTTAGAATATAAGTCATTTCTTTGAGTACTAGTTATAATTATGCCATACTGTGTTTGCTTTTTTGGCCGTTGGAGATGTTCTAACAGAATTTTTTTTTTTTTCATTCAGTATCAATTCTTTGTTTTCACTTGACTGAATTTACCTTCTTATCCTTTTCTTCTCAGTATCATGAAAATATCCGTCTCTTCTGTCAAACTCGTGAGAACATCTTCAAATTATTAAATGGGTACGCTCACATTGTCTTTAATACACTATTCATTTATAAAGAGTTTTCCTTACGAGTGCTTAATGCACTACTTTCTCTGTTTCTTATGGTAAGTATGATATAGGACAAACAAGGTCTGTCTCATTTAAGTGAGCAATTTAAATTAAATGTTCTTTCTCTGTACATGAATTATATCTGGTTTTCCAGAGTTTATTATCGTTTTAAGTAATAAACAAGAAATGTCCAGGTAATCAATGAGATTGGTGTTAAAAATTAAAAATTTCGTTCCAGAGCTTCTGTGGAATAAACCATCAGTGTGGCATACATTTTACTGCATTGCTCATCAACATGTGTCAATCATCACATATCTCATTCAACTTCACAAATGTAGTCTTTTCTGGGTTTCATTGTTTGATTTACTGTTTGTCATACATTTAGATTTAGCTGATAAAAAAGACGAGCACATCTGCAACCAGGAATTAGGGGTCGGCATGTCCAATTCAACTCGAGTCTTATTTGTGAGCTGCAACTTTTTCTTCTTTTCTGGTTGCTATACTCAGCCCACCTTTTGAAATGAATAGTTAAAATGGTTGCCATGCACTTTATTAGTTTATTTCCTCTCGGGAACTTGCACAAGAATACAGTTTGATCCTGTTCATGTGGATTTCGTAAATATTTTATTCCAAAAAATATAAAGTTTGAAACAATTGAGACCCTTCTACAGATTGGATGTAGTTAGTAATTCGTGATCCGACATATTGTTTGCATGAACAAATTTTTAACTGGTGTCTTCATAATGTTCATTTGCAGCTTGAATGAAATGCCAGAAACAATGAGGCAGATGCCGCCTCTTCCGGTGAAGGTTGACACAACAGCTACTTAACTCCATCCTTCCCCCTTCCAAACATTGAAACATCCCATAGCAATCATGATCTTGCCTTGTCGTTGCTTCGATTCTGGTGTGATAGCCACCTATGTGATCCAACCTGCAGTGACACTGATGGAAGTAACCGGCAAAAGCAATCAAGTTGACCCTTTTCCAATTTGAACTGACCTCTCTCTAGTCAATTAGTTGGAAGTTTTATGAAATAGTTTGTGCAGTAGGTGGTGATTTTAGATTGGTAGAAAATAGGAAACAATAATTTATCAATGGCTAGTGTTATTAAGTTTTGTGTGAATTTAGTATTTATGTTTTTCTCTTCTTTTTATTTTATTTTAACTAATTTTTTTTTTTTTTTTTTTTTGCTTATTCTATTAAAGGGCTCAAATATATTAATTCAGGAGTAACAGCCAGTTTTGATGAGAAATTATAAATAGATCTTATTCTCCATATATATGTGAAGATCAAAATGCTAGAGATCCATTTCAAAATCCATATATTAAGCTTATATTGTTTATTTTTCCCGATTTAAGTTCTAATAGAATTGGAGAAAAAACTCTTTTATGTTTTTTTTTTTTTTTTTTGGATGATCGAGAGGTTCGGTTTGTTTACGTGTATCTAATTAATCATTGTGGATTTGAAACTATCGATGGATAAAGTTTATAGTTATCCTTATTATCAACTTAAGAAAGATTTAAACTTAGGATTTTTGAATAATATACATAAGAATTTTATAAACCATTTGATTATCGAAGGTGGTTAAATTTTTTATATCATTTGACAATTTCAAATTCAATATTTGTTATAGAAAATTCTCCAAATTGTAAAAGTATAATCAACGTTAAATGCACCAATGTGAGCCATGTTTCATCACAAAAGCATGTGCGCAGCCGCAGCCATTTGATTTGATGACTTTTAAGTTATAATTGTCAATAAAGTTCCGTTGACTATTTATATTATTTTATTTTAATAATTTAAAAATTCATTAATAATTATGAACCTCAATGAAACATTGATCTCATCTCGCGTCCATATTTTCCTCCTGTTTGGTTGGAAATTGGAATTTGAAGTTATTGAACAAGAATTACACTTCAATTTGAAGACTACTGAAACCGTCGTCAAAATTTACCATTTTGCCCCTTCCTGAAATTGGCGGCTAGATTAGAGGAAATAATTAAAATGTGGAAAATTCAATTCATGCATCCATGTTGAAAATTAATTTACATATCATATTGGCTAACCCAATAGAAAAAAAATTCTAATTAAAAAAATTTAAAGCAAGGAAAATAAAGAATTTATAGCAAAATAAACGGTTTAAATATTGGTGCATCATTCTCACCCCCAAAATTCTTCTTTTCTCTAGAAGATAAACAAATATATATTGGCAAAGCATAACTTCAATAATTTAACATTTAATTTCACTATGCTAGCAAAAAAAATTAAATATAAATATATATATATATATATATAATATATTTTTTTTTTTCTAGTAAAGAGATTGTCCTAATATAATTATCTTAAGACCGTGCTTGAATATTTGAATCAACTCATTAAACTGAAATGATATTTTATATTTAAAGATTAACTATATATATACCCTTGTCACTATATTTGCATATAAAACATATATATATTAAAAATTGGCATTTCTTATCCCAACCCTTTTTGGAAGTAAAAGTATTTACAATCTCCGGGTACTTTTTGATTTTTAAATTCGTATTGAATTTTCACTAACTAGAATTAATTTATGACAAAACCGACTCAATAATTTGATTTGATTTATTTGATTTTCTTTCCTCCTTGACAAAAGAAAGTCCTTAAAGTAAAAATAAAAAACCGATGCCAAGTGTCGACGTCCATTATTACGACTTAATAAAAATAAAAAAAATAAATAGAGGCAGTTGTTTATATTTTTCACGTTCAATAAATAGTGTTATTTGTAAAGTTTGACTCAACTCTCTAGTTAAAGTGAAAACTTAATTTGGAAGTAATAGGTTAGCTAGTGAATGTCAATATCATTAATTTTAATTTTAATTTAATAAAGATGGATTAGTTTGGACCATAGCTTTATTTTTTTCCCATTTATTATTTAGCTATAGCTATAGTTAACTTTGAAGTAGCTATACAGGATAAACATAAGTTATTTAAATCATATTATATGTACAATAGGAGCTACTCAAAGCATATTTGAGATCCCATTTGGTATCACTTTACAATAATGTTGAGTCAAATTTTATTTCTTTTAAAGTTTTGATTTATTTTATTGTAATATGTGGGAAAGTTAAATATAAAATTTGTTAATTATATAATTTCAGTAAAATCTTTGAAAAATTTCCTTTAAGGAAAATATACTTTTGTGGTCTTAATCTTATCATCTTCAGAAAACATGCAAGATGCGATAGTAACATTAAACATGAAAATTATTAAGTGCATGCACTTATCCTAAAGAACAAAGAATTATCGCATATAGTAACAGATTCAGAAATTTTTGTTAGGGGGACCAAAATAAAAACTAATTACTCATTAATATTTTTGTTAGGGTGAGCCAAAATCCAAAAATTTATAATAGTATTTTTTTAAATAAAACTCATGGCCCACCAAAAGTAGGCTAGATCCGCCCCTGATAGCATATAATATATAAAATATTTATAAAAGACATAGAACTACAATCTACTAGAAATAGAAGAATTAAAAGTAACATTTTTAATTATAAATAAATAATTTAATATATATAAATACAAAAGATTGGTATCGGTACATAAACATTGCTCTATAAAAGTAGGCAGCTACAGTTAAAAACCGGGATTCTATATTGTGAGATTGATAGATTTTCAACTTTAATTATAACCCACTTGGCTACACCAAATGTGAAACTTGAAGCCGCACTTTATCAGCATCTTATTAATCTGTCTCATATTCATAACTATATGTTACATTCTTCTTTCTTTCTTTCTTATAATATATATTATAAAGAAAGAAAGAATGGACCCTTAAGATTAACAGACTCTGATCAATTTGTGTAAATATATTTCCTTTTCAACTTGGCAAATGATGCTGTCTTTTGCTTTGATCAACAACTTGGCTGATGGATAGATTTTCAGCTTTAATCTCAACACTGGCTGCAGTCACCATACCATATCAGTATTAATCTTTTTTGTCCAATAATCTACATATAATTTATTTTCTTTTTAATCATTAATTAATATGGTAATTCTTAGAACTAATTAAGAGGAATTTCTGTAAGACCAACTTGAATTCTTCTTTGCGGTATTTTGTTGACTATATATAATTATATTTGACAAAAAGAGGAAAAAAGATATAAAAATGAAAAAGAAAAGAAAAAAGAAGTGTTCACAAATAGTTAGATGTATAAATACAAAAAATATTAAATAATATGACGACTATATTCTTGACCGAAAGGGTACGTAGCTTGACGGCTTGACCGCTACGATCAATGCATGAACTTTGTTGTTTTTTGACTTCTGGAATGGGGAAAGAACAAAACAAGAGTTTTCCTCTGAAACACAAAACATTAGAATAATACATACTCAATCTCTTATGCAAATACCCGCAATTATAGTAAGACAAAATTTCAATTAAATTTCCTTACATCAAAAACTCTTGAATTTTGTCTTTTAAATAAAAAAAGACTTCTGTGCTAGAAAATTTTCTCTCCTTATTGAGATCCTCATGTTTATTAAAATAGATATCTACACCAAACAAAGTTTTAATATCTTTTAAAACATGAATAAAGTTTTTCATGTCAGAAAGTCGTAGAAACTAGAAAGATCGAAAGATAAATATGGTTGAAATTTTGTTTTTAGGCAGTTTTTTAAAATGGAGAGTTGATTATATTATTTAAATAGAAGATATCGGTGCCATTAATATTATTTGAAATGTAAAATGAACTTTAAAAGGGGAAGGCTTAATTGAGTAGTTGTTCCAATTTGATAACTAGTGGATTAAGTTGAAAAAACACAACAGAAGCTCTCTTTTTCAATCGCTTTTTCCTCTCACTTAACACATATTGCATGGTGCATTTGACACGGTTTCGTCGGTCTTTCAAACCTAGAAATATATATTGAAGCCATTGAAGGCTATATTAATATTTTAATTTTCTTGAAAACTTTTCTCTTCTTTAATTGGGGGTTTTGTCTCTTTGAAAGTTATAATAACCCACCAAATTGATTATTATTTTAACTTTTTTCTAGGAAACTTTTTTTTTGTTTTTTATTGGTGTTTTGTCTCTTTGAATTTATAAATTTCAAATCCTGAAGGTGTGTTTCAGTTGAGGTTCTTGACTTTGGATTTTTACTTTTTGATTAGCTATATATAATGAACCAGACTCTTCAAGATTATTAAGCATTTGAATTGAAGAGTCTCGACTTCTAGATTTATTTATTCATTTATATATTTCATATTTGCATGTTGATTTCTCTCTATAAAATACTGTTCATGCATAAGAGAGGAAGCTAGAAGCACTTTTACAGAAGTGCTTTTCGGATTCATTCATCTCCAAGCTCAAGTAAGTTCTTCTTCTTCTTCATCTTCTTCGCTTTATCTCTCTCTCAAAATTATCAAACTACTTTATGTTAAGATTTTTCTTTAATTATATATTAAACTAAAATGTAATTCTTTGCTTGCAAAGGAGTGATTCTACACTAAGCAAGTTTCAACTTTTCCAAAAGCACTCTTACCTCTTCTAGAAAAAAGCACCAAAATGTAATCTTTAATCAATTCCTTTTCGCACACATAATTAGCCATGGAGAGTTTCTGCAAATAAACCCTTCCACCAATTCCATAAACCAAACCATGAGGGAGAAGACCTCTCTCTCTTCTTTCTCCCTTTCTCTCTCTCTAAAAGGTAATCAGTCAATCACTTCAATTAATCTCGTTTAATTAATTTAATATTAATTTTAATCAAACTTGTTTGATGGGTTCGGTTTATTTTCAAGTAAGCATTAATGGGTTGGTTAGAAAAAAAATGGTTTGAGTTTGGTCAAATTCCATGGAGAATTAGAAGTAAGACTTATTTTGTGTTTAAATTGTGAAAAAATTCATTCATTCTTTGCTTATTTGGCAGGGAAAAAACATGGACATTTCACAGCTTCTTCTTGTGCCCTCAATTTTCTTGATGTTGATTTCTGCATTAAATTTCCCGGAAATTGTTGCAGCGGAAATTCAAGTTTCATCCATTACTTCTCTTCCAGGTAACAACTTTATACTATTATTATGTAATTTTATGTTTTGGAGGATTAAATATTTGTTTTTTTCCTTTTTCTTTTATTTTTTATGATTGGGTTCAAAATTTAATGGATATATATTTGGATTAAATAAAAATGGGATAACTTTAAAAAACCAATTTTTTTTATTTTTGGCTTTGATTTTGGAAATTTTTTACTTTGTTTAATAGATGAGAATGAGATTACCTTATTTATTGGAAAATTTGAACAATTAAAAAAACTTGTGTATGGGGGATGGGGCAGGATTTTTTTTCTTTTTTTTGGGCGGGCTGGATTAGGCTGTATGGGTTTAGGTGATTAATTTTATTTAGGTTTAATTATTTGGGCTTAAAAATGTATAGGCAAATGAATTGGGCCGTAATCATACCCAAATCCAATAAGCATAAAATAATAAGCCCAGATGTCTGAAAGCTCAGCCTTTTTTTTTTTTTAATCCAAAATAATAATAATAATAATTCTGTGACAATTAATATTTTTTCATTAAATTTAGCAAAAAGGAAGAAGTCCTTGCCTGTTTAATAATTAGATCAAGCCTCAAATATCTTTTTATTAATTAATTTTTTTTTAAATCAACTAATACAATTCGGTTTGATTCGAGCTCCGAGTGGAATCAAATTTATATGTTTTGTATGCTTCTTTTCTTCTTAAATTCATATAGGATCTAACTGTCCACTATTTAGTATCTTAAAAAAATCATTTTTTTCTTATTTTTATGATTGTATAGTTTACCCAAATTCAGCTACTATAATTTTTTTTTGTTTGTTTGATTTTATAACTTCTAATTTTTTTTTCTTTTCATTTTTTTTTTTTTTTCAGATTTCTCAAGTGAAAATTTAGTTGAAACAAACAATGTCTCACAACCCATGACAGAGAAAGATAATACAGAAAGAGTGGATCCTTTGAATGATTTAAAGAAATACAAAGGAGGTTTTAACGTAACCAACAAGCATTATTGGAGTGTAATTCTCTTTCCCTCTTCATTTTAGTTTCTTTAGATGAAAAAATAAAAAATATTTTCAATTTACAAAAAACATCATAATACTAGATGTAAATAATATCATTGGTTTAAATATATATAATAAAATAATTTACTGATGTCTTAAATGGATATACAGATGATGTGATATATCTGTTTCATCTAAGACTTTCTCGTAACCATTAAAAAAAAAAAAGAGATCAAGAACTTAATCAAGTTTCTTTTACTACGAGGCTTATGAGATTTAATTTTTTTTTGGTTTGCAGTCAACTGCATTTACAGGAATTTATGGGTATGCAATTGGGGCATTATGGCTATTGGGTGGAATTATCTATGGAGGTTTTGTGGTTTCAAAGATTTTGTTTTGCAAGAAGAGAAGAGAAGAAAAGTTGAAGAAGAAAAGGGCAATTTGCAATAACCAGTGCTACTTTTGGCCCATCGTCCTAGCCACATTCTTCACAATTTTAGCAATGTAATTCTTTCTCCCTTTCCTTAGTAGTAACATAAACTCAAATATATGTATTTTTTTAAAGAAGATTTAAAAAAAAAAAAAAAAGAACATTGGATTTACTGTTTTCAGATTTTTTTTTAGAAAGAAGAAAAGATAGAATATTGGATTTAATGTTTTCAAGATTTGAAAACGTGTTTAATAGCTTTTGTTTTTATTTTTGAGAAAAAAATTAGTATTTTGTAAATGAAAACAATGAAAATATATTTTTGATAAAATATTTAAAGAGTTTAAAACAGAAATTAGAAAAAAAGCTAATGCTAAATAATTTTTTTTTTTTCAAGTTATTGTACTAGAAAAATGAAAAATTATATCCAAATATTCACTAACTATAAAATATTTTTCTTGGTCACGTACTTGTTCATAAAAAATTTACAAGAAAAATACACAAAAATAATTTATTAATATGTGACCTTAAGAGAGACATATTTTTATAAGTAATACTAGCCTAACAAAAAGGCATACAAAGAGCTATACAAAGAGTCAAATCCAGCTCTTGAAATTTATGATTGCCTTTTTCTCTCTCTCTTTTTCTCTTCTTTCAAGGGTTGGATTTGACTCTTTGTATGAATCTTTGTATGCCTCTTTGTAAGACTAGTATTACTCTATTTTTATCGTCGAGAATCTAGGAAAATCTATAAATCCCATTATATTTTCTGCAATAAAAATTTTAACTACGCTTTTTTATATATAGAGAGATTATTTCTAACTGATTATATGATTCTAAAATTTATGCAGAGTTGCATCAGGGTTAGTTCTTGGAGGAAATGAAAAATTCAATTCAAGAGCAAGCAAAATAGTGGACATTATCATAAACACAGCCAATGAAGCATCAGAAACTTTATATAACACAACAGAAGCCATGAAAGAAATGGAGAATAACTTGGAATCATCAAATGGACCCAGTGACACTTCTGTTTTTCTATCCTCCACTTCTCAGAAACTTGAAGATGAAGCCGCCGTTATTGAAAGGCAGGCCAGGAAGAACAGGCGACTCATCGATAAGGGCCTCAAGATAGTGTAAAACTCTCCTCTCTTTTCCTCTCACATAATTATTTATCATTTAAATGTTTGAATGAAACGTAATCTTATTATGGCATTAGAAAGGGTAGGTGCCACTACTGGCTGAGTGGGGGCACTGACCATGAAAACTTCACGAGTCTCCTTTTATTTTGTATTTTTTACAGTAAACCCCCTTCATCTTATTTTATGAAAGTGGTGTCAGTTCATTTGCCTCCACTTTTTAAACGATTTTTTTTTTCCTTAAACCCCGAGTATATTTAAGCGTGCTCTGTTCTTTTTTTATTTTTTAAATCCTTTTGATTGAATATAGTGTACATTAACACAAAAACCACTATATTATAATTTAAAATTATCTTGTTCTCTTTTCACAAAATTATCTTCATCTATTCAAAACAGTACTATTAGTCTATGCCTCACATTATTTTATTTATATGGTCAATTTTACTGTTGCCCCCATTAGAATAAACTTATGACTGTTTTTTATCTCAGTTAACAGTTTCTGGAAACTTGAGTAATTCTTGGCCAATATGAGGTTGAAGTTGATATTGGCCATTGGCTATGTGCATGCCAAGAAAGTCAATTTCTGTGGTGTTGAGAACCATTTTCTTTTCAGAGAGCATGACTCCATATTTTTTAAAGAGGGAGTAAAACTGATGTAAAAGGGCCAGGTGACTGGAGTGGTCTGGAGAATAAGAGTTCAAGCATATCATAGAACATATATGTCGTAAGATAAAATGTCATACTGACAGTATATACATTGTATGTTATAAGTGACATATTCTATTGCTTTTAGTACCAAACGGGTCTTTGTTAATATAATTATATAAACATGTTTTTTCAGGTATGTGGTAACCACGGTGACTGTTTCCCTGAATCTGGTTGCATTGATTGCTCTATCAGGTAATTTGTATTGCAAATGACTGTTAATGACCTCTGATATAATATTTTAAACATGAATTGGATTTAATATGATCTCTTTTTGCTGCAGTTTCTGGAGTTTTCAGGTTCCAGAAGGCTCTTAACCTGTAAGTAAATACTCTAATTTTTCTGCAGACACATTGTTATTATTATTTAGATTCAAAATCTCACTATTTTTCTTTATTATTTTTATTTTACAGGCTAATTACTCTGTGCTGGATCTTCACATTTCTGTGCTGGATGCTGTTTGGGGTGTACTTTTTCCTGGAAAGGTAATAGCTTCTTTCACTTTTCTTAAAGGATCCTTCAAAATTTCTGGCCATTTTTATTTAGATGATCTTTAATTCTTTTCAGGTTGTCAAGTGATACTTGTACAGCTCTAGAAAACTTCCAAGAAAATCCCAATAACAACAGCTTGAGTTCAATCCTTCCGTGTGACGAATTGCGCTCGGCTGAATCTGTTCTTTTCGACTTCAGCACAGGCGTTTACAAAGCCGTAAATGAGGTAAATTTTGTATACGTAATATTACTAAAATTTATACTACTCTTCAGCGACAGTTTAACATAATGCTGCTTTTGGTTGAAAATTCCAGGTAAATGAAAACATATCAATATCATTTCCAAGTATCCCTCATGTCTGCAATCCCTTCTCAGGGCCACCAAATTACAAATACTTGACAGGCTACTGCCCTGAAAACACTATTCAAATCGGCGATATCCCAAAGGTACAACTTAATAGTCTCGAAAATAGTTTTAAAAAAGACAGAATCTGCCTGTATCTGATGTATTAAAACGTGCATCAATAGGTGTATTTATGCATAAGATCGATCAGCGTGCGCTGAAAATTATACTTAAGTTTCTGGATTCTATGGCTTTGTAGGTATTGAAGGTATTTACTTGCTCTGATGCCAACAATGGAACCTGTGGTGAAGAGGGATTTTTCATAACAAGCAATGAGTATACAACAGTGAAAGCATACACAAGTTCAATTCAGAACCTGCTAAATGTGTATCCTGACATGGAAAATCTGATAGAATGTCAATCAGTGAAGGATGCATTTTCTGAAATTCTTGTCAAACACTGCAAACCATTGAAGAGAAATGTGCATTTGGTGTGGTCATCTCTGGTTTTTCTCTCCATTGTTATGGTGTTTCTGGTTCTGATTTGGAATGACCAAGCTCAAAATGACCAAGAACTTCACTCTTCAGATGGTTCTGTGATACCCCATTTTGTAACACCAAATGTTTCCAAATGTGAAACCACTAAAGAAGGTTCAGAAGATCACCAAATCCCAGTTTAGTTTAGAAATTATATAGCACCCCGGCAACATTACTCATCAATAATAATCATTAGGATCCGCTTTGATTGAAGTACAGATTGATTCAAAGCAATCCAATGATTATTATTAATCTGATAACGTTACTGAGTCGGTGTCATAAGAATATTTATCCACAAGAACGGATATATAAGTATATAATATTGGAAGGCAAAACAAGCTAATGGCTTCCAATGAAATAGGAAAATATACAAAAAAAAGGAGAAATAGATGTAGAAGATACAAAGAGATAGATTGTGTTCTCTGCAAAGGGGATCAAATTTGATATACATTTTTTGTTTAATTGTACAGAACAGTTTATGCAAATCCTTGGAAGGCCAAATTTGGGGACCAACCCAAAAATGGAATTGAAAGAAATTTTCAAGCAATAATATCTTCTCCAATTATTTGAATTTTTGCATTAATTGTATAGTTTTTTTTTCATGAATTTGGATCCTTTATTGATCTTATAAACTAAGATAAAACAGTTCTGTTTGTGAATATTTATAAAAGAAAGTACAAGTTAAAAAATATGAAAACAAAATCCTCAGCAATGTGTAATTAAGAAATGTGCTTTTTTTTTTTTCTTTAATAATTCTAAATTGGATAAACAACAAATTATTATAAAAAATCAAAATAAGTGATTTAACAATATACAAACTTAAAAAAAAGAAAAAAAAAAAATTTGATGTCAAATCCTATCCTTAAAGTGTGTTGCAATAGTTAACAAATTTTCTTAACATGGATTAGTGTTTAAACAACTCGATAATTAAATCGGTTTAGGGTTCAAGGATTTAGGATTCAAGAGGATGAGTTTATATTACTGACATCTATAAGTTAAGTTGAAGCAGGGGTGGTTTTGACATTCCACAAGTTTTGGGGGCAATTTGTCATAGTTTAGTAGAGGGTAAAACTAGTTAATTTTTGAAAGCCCCACAAAAATAGTTATTTTTGCAAGCCCCACAAAAATAGTTATTTTTGCTAACTTCCAATAGAAGACTAGTTAATTTAGTATATAATTTATTCCAATAGAAAATCACTTGAGAAAGAGGGAGAAAATGGAGCAACCATCTTCTCCAGGAACAAACCCAGTTGAGATGAAAGAATGCCTGGAAGAACTTGTGAAGTTCACTTTGGAGTCTTACATTAACCAAACCCTTCAGCTTGATCTTGCTCTCTCCAAAGACTTCTGCTCCTTTCTCCTTCAACATGTTCCACTCACTTCTGGTAAGTAAACACATGAACAAAGAACTAAATTTATAATTAGTTCTTCAAATTTTTAGTCTCTTTCTGCTTTTATATTGTGGTAATGAATGTGAAGTTGGAGAAACCAAGTGGGTTTTCTTTTTGAACTATTTTTTTTTTTTTTTTGTCTTAAAATTTTTAAATTTAATCATTTCTCAAAAAAGAAGAAGAGAAGATTTGTTATTGGTATTCTTGGTTTATTTTAATTTATTTTTAATGGGTCAAGTTTTTTAGTGTTGTTTTGTGCTGTTAGTTCAATTGGGTATCTGAAATTCATCTCATTACTTATGAGAAAGATATCATTTCTTTGTGCTCAATGTGGCAGATTCTTGCGATAAAGGATCCCAGTATCCTTTATACAAACACCTGGCATTAGCTTTATACGAATCGGTAACTTGTGCTGCAGCATCGCGTGGGGCGTGTAGTGGTATTGAGGACAGTGACCTGAAGAAGAGAGAAGAGTGGAATGAATTGGTTCTCAAAGAAGGATCTGAATTAGTAGAGGCATGTATATTAGTGGTGATTTTATCATTTCCTACTTTACTTTTGTTGCATAGATATGATCAGGAGATTTGCTATAATAGGATTGAATTTGGTGTTTCATCAGCTTTTGAAGACCATAAACTTCGAACTTCATGTTCAAGAACCTTATTTTACCCAATTGAAAGGTATTTATTTGCTTTTGTGTTATCAATTTTTAAGCTGTAAATTGGTGGATTTGTGAGGAATATGTTTGTATGTATTCTCCTGATTTCCTGGTATTATATTCTATACAATTGAAGACTAATTTCAGTGATTTGAAGTTGTTTGTAGATGGCTTGAAAACTGTGGAAGGAAGGTGTGCCGTTGGTGACTACAATAGGTATATTCCAATTTTGTACTCACATGCTATGTTTTTATATTTATATTTTTTCTTTTGCATTGAGTTTCTGAGTTGTTTTAGCTAAAATTAGTTTTGCATGATTTTTCAATTTGAGTTATTTATTAAAATTCCCTCTTTTTAATTGTTTTTCTTTGTTCTGGTCTCAGAATTGGTCCTGGAGCTTTGATTCTTTTTAATAAATGTTTGGTGCTTGAGGTTCAGGTAACAACAATTTCTTTCAAAATTTACCATGCTTTTTTTGAAACTTTTGCTGTTGTAATCAATTTAAATTGCAGGACGTTAACCAGTACAGGTCATTTTATGAGATGTTTCAAGCACAGAGTCTTGCGAAAGTCCTTCCCAGCGTAAAAAGCACTAATGAAGGTAACAACCTTGTATTTTGATCAGAACACACCTAGATTCACTTCTGGAAAATTAAAAAAGCTACAAAGATGTAAAGCCACTCGTGGTTCATAATTGCTAACGGATGTGTTGTGCATACTTACACTTTCTTAGCTAGAGTATTATGTTTGATGCCTATCCTTTCTATGCAAGTAGCATCAACAGCAAAAAAATTCAAACAAGAAGGATTTGAAAGTTGTAAAATATCAACTTTATAATTCCCTCTACAGAATATTTTCCTTCTTGTGATGGCCTGTTTTTGTCCCTAAAAACATTACAACAATGAAAGAATATCAAAGATGGTGCAGCAAACTCGATAGCTAGAGTTCTCTTCATTTTGTATTCTTTTATTTTTTGTCTGGCTGCAAGATAGTATCTTTTACCATCAGTTTGTTCTCTATTGAATAAAACTGTTACTTTTAAATTTGAAATATTACTTTGATGGATGCTTGTCTAATTCCTATAGGTCAGGGTATCATGTTGTCTTCAGTTCCTCAAAGTATCAAATACCTGTGATGGGGAATAGGGAGAAAAGAAGTAGGTAGATAAATTAGAAGAAATAGGAGGAAAAAAATACAGCAAGACTAAAGGGGCTATAGTGTTATTTCTTTTTTCTTCATAACTACCCAATTCGGCTGTGAAAGTGTACACAAATGAGAAGTATAAGGACCTTCTTATAGGAGCCCGTATAAGCTTAGTCATAGTTCTAGTAAACCAAATCATGCCAAGTAGGGGACATGTGTCTGATAGATACCTCTCCCAACTTAGCCAACCACAACAGAAACAGTAAGCAAACAATCGAATTAAACCCAGAAAGCAACAAGAATCAGTAGCCAAAATCCAGAAACACTAGCACTTATATTGATAGTCTAGCAACACAAAATACATAGCAACAAGAAACTTAACAAAACTAGTCAAAACAGGAAATCAAATCAACCAGAAACCAAAACAAGAAATAAAAAATAATGTTGGTCATAGTGCTGGACTTCGAGGGCTAGCAACCTCCCTTTTCCCTTCTCTTCACTTTTTAGAATCCCCCCAAATCCCATTGTCTCCCGTTTTATTCTATTCTTCATAACAGAATTCTTCAATCGTCTACTCCCTTAAAACCATCTGTCCCTCCCTAAACCATCCTTAACACCTCGTGCACAAGGAACCTTCCTGCTAACTGCACCAAAATCCCCTACTTCACACCCTTATATCTCTTCCAATGGACCAGCATATTAGGGGTCTCATCAGTGTCCAATGGTGGCATGATAAGTAACGTGTCTTTTGGTGGAAGATCCACCTAGTTTGAAACACTTCCCTGTGGATCTCTACCAAATAAAACCCACCAATAATTGGTGGAGGTCCTAGAGGGAGTGTTTCTTCTAATTTATGAAAGTGGGATTGTCAGATTTGTACTCTATGTACAGAATAGAAAAGAAATGGGAGAAGAAATTAGAAAAAAACAAGTGCAAAATTGAGAGAAAATATTCAATTCATATCATGTTCAATTTTGCATCTCAACAATGAACTAATAAGACCAAGCCTTGATATAATACTATCAATTAAGAAACTAGTAAAATATTTAGCATACTGCAATTTTCAGCAATAACAGTGGCGTTATCAAGTCTTTTAGTGTATACATATGTGTGTGTGTGTGCACCTAATTACTTTTTCTATTTAAAGAATCTATGATAATACATGGATTGTAAAAGTATTTGCTTTATTACTTGCAATAAGTCTTATACAAAATGTTTAATTCATGATGATTTCTTCTTTAGGTATTCAAGTGTACAGGAAGTTTTACACAGAAGAGAAGGAAAAGTCCAATGGTGTCCTTGCTATTTGTGTTGCAAAATGGCCTGTCCAGCCCTTCTTTCATATGGCTAGAATTCTCTCTGTGAGTGTGCTTAGTGTCTTCCCTTTTGCCATTTGTTTCTACTGTTGCAATTTCTGGAGATGATTTGAGTCAAATAAGTTTGGAATGTACGATTTTATGTTGCTGATTTCATACACCAAGTATCCAAAGGGGAAAAAAAGACTTTAGTACTACAGTATCTATGCATCAAGTCAATAAAATTCTATGCGTCACATGATCATTTTAAAAACTATAAATTGTAACGGTGTTAGGATTGATGAAAGAGAAAATAATATACACATCTATTATGCATTCATTGATTTGACATATAGATAATGTGATATACCTGATGATTCGAGACTTCTCTCAAATAGAAATTGGTATTGTGTTGTACAATATCTGTATCTTTGTTGTTACATTGTTCATTGTCGAAATTAGCAGTGTTATGTAGAGCAGTGCTGACTTGATTATCTAACCTTTGTTACAGGGATTGAGTTATGAGGGTCTTCAAAGCCTTCTAAGTCTCTATGATCGCACTTCAAAGGTTGCAGATTCATTGCTTCAAGCAAGACTTAGATCTGAGCCAACTGTGACAATGATGTGATAATTTGTTTGTTTTCTTTCTGTATTTGCATACATAGCCTTTGTCAAGAAATTCTGTCATATTCAATTGCAAATTTGAGACTTTAACATTTTTAACACAAAATAGAGAAATTCATTCTTTGTTAGTTTTATGATAAGGATTCTCTTCTGAAATGAGTTTTATTCGTAGATATAAGATTTGTGTCGGCAATGGATGAAAAGAAATATAAGATTTTGCAAATAGTAGTTTATATGCAAAGTTTATCGGTAAAATCCTTCAAAATGGAAATAAATTCGAATTTAGAGAGGATTAAATTCTTAAGATATCTGAAATGTAAAACATAAATCCTACAAATTCTTCTATTTTTAAGAAATGTAAATTTTTGTTCCGACTAAGGCACTCCAAGTCCTTGGAAAAAGATTACAATTCTTGTTATGTCTTCAAGAAGAGGAGACTTTCATAAGAAATTGCTACTAACCAATTTGTGAATTCAAAATTTACTTGGGAATATGTAAACTAGAACTATCCAAGTATTTTATGTAAAATATGAACATATTACTAAAATTCATACACCATTAACCATTGGAATTTTAGCAAGAGGGGTGTAGTCTTGAAATCCTTTCTCTAAAAATAACCAATTCCAAAATTATAGAAAATAATATCCAGCATGTGAATGAAATGACTTACATACCATCCAATGTCCTTTCGTGTGTTCATCAAATTCGTCAACCAAATAGTTGGATAGTTTTTCAAAACATTAATGCAGGTTGACATTTTTCAAAATAACCTTTTATGTTTCAAAAATACCTAAATACCCCTTTGCAAAAGCAACTATAAAACCATAAAAATATCCTCTTCTGTTACCCACCTTTCTTCTCATCCAAACAGAAAATGTAGGAAAATGAAAGAAACAACAAGAGGTAATTCCAGATCTACTCTCTCTCTGATTTAATTACTCTAAAACCTTTCTTAATTCAAACCCATCTGGATTCTGACACAACAATTTCTTCTATTAACAGCCACTAGAAATCTGGTAGCTTTGTCTCAGCAATCAACAAATCTTTTGCTCATTTCAATTATTGGAATGGGGGATCATGGGAAAATTAAACTCAATTCAATGGTTGGGTTGTACTGGTAACGATACTTTTTATATGGGCTTTCTTGATAAGATATTAATATTATCTCATTCTCGCTTTGTTATCTTCTTTATTTTATTTTATTTAAATAAGAGATGATTGTAATTTTTTTTTTTTTCATTTAGAATTATGATTCAATTTTTTGTACAATTCTGAAGTTATATATATATATAGACCATTACTTAGCTCCGATGCCATATGTGTGTAGATAGTAAAAATCAATATATATATTACTTTTTACGATCCTGCACACATATGGTATAAGAACTGAGTAATTGTCAAAATACTCCATTATTTTAGGATCATTGTAGCAAATTACTATTCGTATTACTATTCATTCACAGTAGCAATTTACTATTTATCTGTGACACTGTTCATTTCTTAGTTAAGATTAGGGGTGGGCAAAAAAATAGGGTAGAATCGAAACCGATGGGTACCCAGGTTTCGGTTTCGGTTCCTACCCGGAACTGGTTGCCACAAGGTTGGTTTTAGTTCTGAAAACTTGGAACCGACATTGTGCAAGTTCAGTTCTTATTCCACCACCTTAGGAACCGAAACCGGACCATGGAACCGGTACTAAATCGAAATATTAAAAAAATATAAGGACCATTGAAAAATTTTATGATTCAATTAAAGTTTTATCTTTTTTCTTCTGGAATTTTCTCTTGTTTTGTTTGTTTTATTCACAACTGAATTTAATTGATGTCTTACCTTGTTATTAAAATTAATTCACCATTCTTAGTAAAAACAACTTTATTTTTCTATTCATTTTCTTCTCATAACCTATTAAACTTTTTTCCTTGTCTCGAGTGTACAATTTAAAAGTAAACAAGAGATTGAGAGAATTTTTCACAAACTGAAAATATTATTAATTTTCTCTTGAATAAAATGTACACACACTTCTCGTTATATAGAGAAGTTCCAGACTTCAATTGAAATTGAATCTGTAAAAGCAAACAAAACAAAACTTACAAAAAGTCTAAGCTAACGTACAAAAGCTTACAAAGCTTTAAACAATGTACAAAAGTCTTAAATAAGACTTGACTTAGCAAAAGAAAAAGTAAATACAATTTTGACTAATAAATTTACAAAACCTAACGACAACGACACTAGGGTCCACATGTCTCTCATGTGTCTTACAAGACATTTGTTACAAATAAATAGCTGTCAACATCCAATGCCTCTTTAAATCTGGATCATCAAATTTCGTCGGCAAAATCCTGGATGTCCACGTATATTCCCCACTGTTTGGTACACGTCAGCGTATTACGTGTTGGACGTTTCTGGCTGTCCAAATTTTCATCCTCTTGGATCTGCATCAACCCTTGAAGTTATCTACTTCAATCAGATTGATAAAATCCTTCAGAGTGTCATCTTCTTGTTGGACTTCCTGGTCGTGGGCTAGGATCATCCTTAAAAGATCAATAGTTCATTCCATCAAGGCCTACTGTGATAAATTGGTTAAATCGAACCCTTCTAGAAATGTTTCCAACTGGGCTTGATTGTGTTGGAAAAGAGTAACCTGGATCACTGCATACCTGTCTGGTAAAACAACCACTATCCCATTATAGATATGGACGGTAGCATTAGCTTTAACAAGCTCCTCCAGTTTGGACTTTACCAGTAACATTTTCGCAATGTGTAACTTGGTCCAATCCTCCTCTTCTTTCTTCTAAATTTCTTCTAGTACAGACGAATCCGTTTTTACCTCACTATTTAACATAATTCGGTACCATGGTTCTCTTATAAGAAATTCCCATATATGTACAGGCTGAACATTGTAGTTCTCTTGCAATGAGGAAGTAATCATGTAAGTGTGTGTCGACCTTCCGATTCAATATACAGAGCGTTTGTTTAACCACATCTGGCATATTCGGGTCCACCATTGCTTCATGTACATCAATTTGCATTGTATCGATCCATCCTTTAGTCGAAAGATCTCCACATAAACATTTTCTAAAGATTTTCCATGGAACGAACAATTCCATAGCACCATTAGGATAAACTGATAATTTTTGAACCAAATCCGTCAAGTCAGTTGTTCCCAATTTCACTATTAATTCATTCAAATTCTTGAGTTTGAGTTTTACCATGTCAAACAAATGACATTTCTTCATTACCTCAAGTTTTTGAATTCCTGTATTATAGAGTTGAGAAGTTACTCTAAAGTCCCCGTCCTCATAGAACAGTTTATCAGCTTTCAGCCATGCTAACCTCCTTGCTAGCTTCTCTAAACATCTCTGCAATTGTACTTCCCCTTGGCCTGTCACAATAACGAGCCTAATTTGGGTTTTCAGATCCTCCCAGAGTATTTGACTAGCTGAAGTTAACCTTAAGCCTTCTGTAAAGCTAAACCTCTCACAACTATTCGCACCAATTAACCACTTCTTTTGTGGAGTTGGTGTCACCACGCTTACAGCGCCTAACGAAGATTCCTCAAAATTTTTTGTCTTTAGCAGTGGACAATTAGCTCGTTCATGTCCTTCCTGTTTACAAGACCGGCAAACAATTGCTTTCTTCTGAGTCTTTTCCTTCTTAAGAGTAACCTCATTTTCAGAAGAATTTTCCTTCGTAGAAGTTTCACCCTTTAATCGTTGAAATTTTGGGTTTCTTCTTTCCGAAGTATCAGAATCATAATCCCGTGTCTTTCCTTCTTTAGCCTGCTTTACTGCAGTAACCTGCCTAGAAGAAGAAGCTTCCTGCTTACCCGCAGTTTTCTCCTTGTTTGCAGTAACCTTCAAAGGGCAATTCCTCCTCAAGTGTCCTCGTTGTTTGCACTTGGAGCATGAGAAGTGACTTCTAGTTTCCTTTTTGTCTGCCATCATTTTGCAACTCTTCAGGGAAATGTCTGGACAAAAAGTCAGCAACAAAGTTAGATTTACCAGAAATATATTCAAACTTGATTTTATAATCGGCAAACCAAATTTGCCATCTGATTAATCTAGATTTGTCATCATTTAAAGATAATTTCACAAAAGTTTTTAAATATTTGGAATCTGTCCTTAAAGTAAATTCCTGACTGATTACGAACAATCGAAATCGGTCAATACATTCTTTTGCTGCTAAAACTTCCTTCTCATGGACATGATAGTTTATTTCAACAAGAGAGAATTTTCCTGACGCATATCGAACAATCCGTTCAATATTATCAGTACCTTTAGCCTTAAACACTCCTCCCCAATACAAGTGAGATACATCACTTTCTATAATGAGTTTATCCTCATCTTCTGGGAGTTTTAAAGGTTTTAACTGCTTTGTTAAGGCCTTGGTCTGCTTAACACAATTAGTCTTCAAGTGTCCAATTCCAGGGCACTTGATACTAACCTTAAGCGTCAAGCCATTGATTACATTAGCGAGATTAGGAACATACCTGCGCATGTAATTGGCTAATCTAAGAAATTGCTGTAACATGTGTTTATCTTCCATTACATCTGGAAAATCCAGCAACTTCTTCGAGATATGTTCTTGGAGTTGAATGCCTCCTTCACCTATCTCTACGCCTAAGAACTTCACCTTGTTCTTAAATCATTCTATCTTTTTTTCAGATAGAATCATTCCATTATCAAGGAACCTTTTGCTTACCAGTCTAAGATGATTTACATGTTCTTCCTTGGTTTTACTAAAAATCAAAACATCATCAACATAGACTATACAAAAGTTAGATAAGTCCCCAAAGACTGAATCTATTTTCCTCTGGAATATTGATGGAGCTTGCTTAAGTCCAAAAGGCAATACCATCAATTCAAACAATTCTTTCGGACAGGTGAAAGCAGTCAAAGGAATGCTTGACTCTGCCATTCTAATCTACCAAAATCCTGACTTTAGATCGAATTTTAAGAAGATTATTATCCAAAAGGCTTTTAGTCAAGGGTGCACAAAGATTTTATGTTTTATTTGCCGGATTTCAACCATTGATGTACAGGAAGCAATAGTGGACCTGAATATGCTAGATGCGGTTAAACAAATGCTCTGTGTATTGAATCGGAAGGTCGACACATTCACTTGCATGATTATT